TGAAAGCTGTACTTTACTCCTCTCCCCTCCCATCTTCTCAAGAAGTCTCAGCATCTCCTCCAGTATCTCTTCCCTCTACCCAGAACCAACCTGTTTCTTCTACCTCTCTCCCCCAGCCAAATTCCTTTCCCAGTGTAAATCCAGATCCTCCAATCTCTAACACTTCCCTGGTGCCTATTCCTCCTCCCTTTTACTCCACCTGTCACATCAGACAACCTAAACATTCCACTCCATCTTCTCCTACCACATCCTCTCCTACACCCACCTCTCCCTCTGCTCCTCGCACATCTGTTCCCTCTCCTCCTCCCCATAAGAAAACATTTATTTCTCATATATCCCCACCCAACTCCCCTTCAAAAACTCTTGAAGACATCCAAAAGTCCACTCCCTCATCCACCCTCTAATCCCTTTATTCTCACTACATTCAAAGTATCTGCCGATATCCATCCTCCTCCTCCTCAAGTTCCCCCTACCCCACTTCTTCCCACTCATCCAAAAAACACGCCATCCTCTCCTCCTTCATGTGCATCACCAATCCCTCTTTCCTTCCCCATTATTTTTACCACACCTCACTTAGATGCTCACCTGACTCCCTTAAATCACAACAATGTCCTCCTGACATTCTTCTCAATACTTCATCACCATCCCCTGTTGCCTTTTTTCATTCTCAGGATTCCTCTCCTACTTCTACAACTAACTTTCTTAACTTAAGACCATTTGATTGTTTCATAATAGCTCTTTTGGAGTTTTCCTTCCTAAGGCATACTCTCCATTTGATCTGATTGCCCTATATCTTTAACCACATCCTTTTTTCAAGTCCCCCACTGTATTCCATTTGCTCCCTCTCTATATGCTTTCCATTCATTCTACAATCTTTGACATCTGACACATCTTATCCTGGTCATTTTCTCCTTTCCACCCTTTTTGTCACAATACTTTACCATAGTGCTGTATGACCTTTGATATGTAGCACATTTATTTCTTCTAACCATTAACCTTCATTCGAGGCACAACTGTACAATAAAAACTGTAGAGGAATTAGCTTTTTAAAAGATTGATTTTGGGGGGCAGAAGGGGGCTGGAAGGGAACAGAACGTTTACACATTAGACCTTATTCATATAGTATATATATATATTCATAATGTTTTCATCCCAAAACTATCAATAATAACGATTTTCCCCTCCAAATTAGCAGCTTCCCTTAAGCGCTCACATGATTGGTTCTAAGAGACTAGGGGTCACCAAGGAAATGTGGGGGAGGGATTGAAGGGCACTGAGGTGTACATGCCATATATTATGATACTTTTGATTCTATACTTTCTATGTTCATTCACAAGTTGAATAGGGGCAGAGTTGACAATAGATGCACTCATATAATTAGTTCGGGGAGAAAAAGGGGTGCCAAGGGAATGGGAAGATGGGGGTTATTTGTAGGGGGTTCTATATGCCACACATTAAGAGAATGCTCATTTTACTCTTATGCTTTTATGCTATATTAATTCACAAGATGAAAAGAGACAGGAACAAAACGAGGACCCACTCACATGATTGGCTCAGGGAGACATAAGGGTACACGAGGGTGGGGAAATGGGGTGGGTTTGGGTAGGTGTAGCTAGAAGAAACTTACTAAACAGTAGCAGAATTACCTTCATCATACTCCCTGTCTTCCATTGACAGAAAAAGAGAAAATAGCTTGTTTTTGAGGAGCTTTGTTCTATTGTGACTGCTTAGATGGTGAATTTGATTTTCACACCTGGCAGATGTTGTATGGAAATATCAAGATCACTTTGGGGTTTTCAGTCTGGTAACACAACCTTGCATTGCTATATTTCCAATTCCCAATGTTTCTCAGTGTATAGCTAGTTAGTTATCAGTTTACATATTTTATTTTATGTAAAACCTTTATGTATACTTTATTTTACATTACAAAAAGTGTATATATACAAATTGACATTCAGAAGTACACTTGGCACCAGCATTCTAGATGTGTCACATTCAGATCATTAGTTAAACATTTGCATATTTGTTGGTTACAGTCTGTTTCAAATTGTTACTTTTATTTTGAAATATATATACACTGCTTTTATTTTGAAATATATAATACTTTGCCTTTATTTTGAAATATATATACTATATGTTTACTGTGAAAAGTTAGTTCACCTCCTATTTGAGAATGTCATATATATTTGACAATGAAATAATGGCAATGCCAACTCTGCCAACATATGTGATTGAAGAGAGTAGTCTTTATAAAGAGGTTGACCATCATTTTTTAGTATAAGATGACATAATATCACTTCTGCTGTACCTAAACCAGCTCTAGAAACAGTTTATATGCTCAGCTGTCTGCAATTCATGCAAACATGTGGTGATTTTGTTGTTCTTATCAGTTTTTACTACTATTTTTTTACTACTCTTTCTGTAGGGGAATTTTGGATGACTTGTAAACAGGAGGTTGGCAAGGGAGTTATAACTGTAGTGACTTAGATGTGCCACTACTTTTCATCCCTCATCACCACATAGCCTGAGCATGTTTAGAAGACAGTCTCATCAAATTTAATATTTTGGTCCAGTGTTGTGTGTTTTATTTCATTCACATAACTTGTTTGAAAAGACAGGACTTCTACCTTACCTTGTTGAATATAAATGAAACTAACAGTTTTTCAATATATGCAAACAAAAGTCTGCCATGAAATCAACAATTTTCCATTATATAGAAGCAAAAGTGACCATGTTATGTAAACTTGGCAACAGAAGTTTGCAAGGATCTGACTGGAGTGTTTTCTGGTAATACTTTTTATGGGATGAGTTGTCATTATATTGATGGTTATTCATTGTGCAGTTCATGGCCATAGACTACGTTCCACATAATCTTTAAGTACTATGCATTATTACCATTTGAAATATAATGGTTAAGCAGATGTGCGCTTCTGTGGCAGTGTGTACATGCATGGATTTGTAATAGTAAATATGTTGAAACAATACAATAAAATGTATGTAACTGTAAGGTGAATAAAAAATGCCTATATCATTAAGAGTATATTATGTATATATGTATAGAAGCAAAAAATATTGATAGGATACACTTGCTTGTTACAGTTTAAAGCAAAACGTATTTTTGTCAACCCATGGACAGCTTGATGTTAATTTGTGATTTTAAGATATTTAATTGTCTATTTGATAGATGGCCCCCAATAGGACATTTTTTTTACATATTGACATTCTTCAGACTTCACAAGACTGCTGCTAAAACTGGAAGATATAAATACAAAGAAATACACATACTTTTATATATGATAATTTATGCTTATCAGGAAGCCATATGAAAGAACATACGTAATTCTAAGTGACAGCTACCCAGTCATGTTAGTTTGGTATCCTTCATGATATTAAGTGTACAAGCACATACTGTTATTTATATATGTTCCTTGTACTTTTCTTGTAAGATATATATTTTTGATTTTGTTATTTTTCTTATTCAAAGAATACTTAAGGCCTGATTTACATGTGTAATTTTTCAGGCAGATGCTTTTACAGAATTTTTTAAGAGCTGAAAAATCTGTTTTTAGCCAGTCTTTTAGGTTTTAAAGGCTCAGAAAAAAATAATTATGATGGCTTTGTTTGTCCCACTTCCAATACAGAAAAAATGAAATAAGAGATAAAAATAATTTAGTCATATTCCATTTATTACAATAGTTATTCTGGGTGCAACAGGCTGTCTTTCATTTTAATTCTAAATTAACAATTATATGCAAGGAATGGCTGGGGTTACCATTGACTGGCAGTGCAAGGGAATTGAATTCGGGTCAGCAAGATTGCTCAACAAGACCACTACCGCTGCACCACACAAATCAGAAGAGATGGAGCAAATGACCTCTTGGGAGAGACATTGTTGCCAAAGGGCCATGGGCCTAGCTACATTTTAAGTGTTATAATTGCTATAATTTTTATAATTGTTATAATTGTTATAATTATAATCTCAAGTGTTATAATTGCCTGAGAATTATTATATTTGTATACTTTTCTCTATCAGATGTATTTATCATAATTCATATATAGTAAGGAATCAGCTATGTATCATTGTGTTGCTATGGTTTGTCGGACTTCTTCATTCCTCACCGGCATTCACAATCCCTGGTAAACATTGAGAGTCAAACTTAGGGTTAGAATTGTGAATTTGGAAATCGTCATTTGAAACAAAAGAAGTCAGAGTAGTAAGGCTCTAAAAATTTTATGTTTTAAAGCAGCCAATAGTGAACTCTCTTTCCTCCCCAAAATTTGTACTTCAAGTCTGAAGAGAAGAAAATAAATGCAACTATAAAGTTGAATTAAACATTTACTGTATATTATATATTGTGAAATTTAATCACACATGTTCCAATAGCCATAGTCAATGTGCACTAGTCAGATCATTCAGCGTAGCTCCACATTTAAAACAGGGCTGTTCTTGAGTGTTTATTTCATATTTAAAAGACATGTTTTGAATTTTTTCATACTTTCAGAAACGGTTGAGATAATGAAAAAATGAAAAGATACATATGGAAAAAAAAAATCAGTTTGTGTATCAATAAGGATGAAAGAAGATTGGTTAGGCTAAAGATTAACAGCGATACATTTTTTATGTTTTTCCAAGAAATTTTTGAAAACTGGGGAGCAATGTATAAACAGGATTTATTTGCTTCCATTTGATCACATTTGCTTTGGGCTGTTAAGGGATACTTATTGTTAAACACTGAACAATACACAAGTTTCATGATTTAATAGTTTATTATGTTATTCATAGATTTTTTTTTTTTTTTTATTGATGTGGGAATCATTGAGTATTATTGTTTCTGTTTTTTGGCAGCAGCAGAAAATATTATAGATATGCTCCAAAGGCAAAAGAAATAATAGAAAATAATATAGTAGAAACTAATGTAATGTAGTTTTTGTACGAAAGAAGCGGTGTATGGGCAATTTGGCAAACTTTGCATTTTGTTAATAGTTGATCTCAATTACAGGTAGGAGAGAGAATACGAGTGATATTGGACTGTGACGACAACACTTTAGCATTTGAGAAGAACTACGAATTTCTTGGCGTTGCATTTAGAGGTAAGCTCAACATTTTTTCTTTGGTTTGTTTGAGGACATGTCTTTCTCTTGGGAGTTTACTAAGATAGATAAGAATAATGTGGAAATTTCTACCTTTAGAGGCATATATTTCCTCTGTCAAATAAGTGTAGTTGTTTGCTCTTTATCAATATGGTTAGTCATAAGATATATTGTAGAATGAATGAATAAAGGCATTAATGTTTTTTACAGCATCTAGTATTTATGACAAACATTGAAGCATTTCACTTTCTCCTTCTCTCACATTTTCCTTATATTTATTCTCATTTATAAATAATCTATTAATACCTTTGTCTTCTGTCTTTCAGGTCTGCCAGATAAGCAGCTATATCCCTCTGTTTCTGCTGTGTACGGCAACACAGAGGTGTCAATGGTATACTTAGGACCCCCGTTGGATGGCTGACCCGCTGTATGCTTAGCACAGATAATACCAGGCTGCAGAGCGCAACATGGTTCCTCGCTGATCTCAAGGGATTGTCCGCCCACAAGCCCTCGTACATTATGACGGGTGTGCGGCAGGTCATGTATGGCAGTGGTCGACTGCAGGAAATGACGCTTCGGCTCTAAAAGAAGCTTTCAGTGAGTGATGGAGCTCAAAGGGGACTGGTGGCCATGCAAGAGGACGGCTGTGGTGTGGTGAGCTGTCTTGCCATCTCCCAAGAAGAGAGCTGTATTGTACGCAAAAATAAAGTGAAAATAAAGAATAACAATAAAAAAAACACATAGGAAATAAGAGAAGGATATTGTGACTTCCTGAAACATTTAGTGGCTTTTTTTATGTTAAAAAAAAAAAAAAAAAAAGATGCAAGCCATTGACGCCTTACAGTTGTTGAAAAAAGGCATAGGATGCAAACCAAAGGGAAGATGTTAGCAGATGTGTGAAAACATCTTCGTTCAGTGCAACAAAGAATAAAAAAGGAAGAAAAGCATGCCTAACAGAGTTAATCTCTGCACTATGTGCAATGTGCCTTGAGAAACATAATACTGGAGGAACATTGTCTTTTAGTCTTTTTTATGAAGATACAACTGTTTTAAATTATTGTATATGTATTTGAAAAAAATATATAGATATATATGTCTGTTAGCATATATATATATCTGTAAAAGCTGATTAACTTTGTAAAGATGAACAGAAGTTAAAGAATAATGTCATGCAACAAAATGCAGTATTCAGGAGTAGAGGGAGCTTCTCATGTACTACCAGGTGTGTGTACAGCATTGGCTTCTTTTTTTAAAAAGGGTTTTGAAAAAAAGTGTAAGTCTGAATGTACAAGTAATTATTTATTGAGGCAAATAGTGATATTATCAGCATGCTTATATTTTGCATTTGTATAGTTTAAAATGTTTATGCATTGATCCTTCCTCATCTGTGGCTGAGTCATGGATGACTGGTTCTGTTCCATCTGTGGAATGCATTCCTTAAGCTCCCACCTTTTTTGTGTTCAATGAATTGTGCTCAGGTAGCACATGATCTAGTCATTTAGTAGCAGAAGTGATCACACATTTCATAGATTGATGGTGAGGGATTGATAACTTTCTTTTATGCTTTCATATATGTGCATTAATCTGTTATTTCATTTTAGATTCTCTCTCTCTCTTATTTTATTTTAGATTCTCTCTCTCTCTCTCTTATTTTATTTTAGATTCTCTCTCTCTCTTATTTTATTTTAGATTCTCTCTCTCTGTCTGTCTGTCTGTCTGTCTGTCTGTCTCTCTCTCTCAGTCTGTCTGTCTATCTGTCTCTCTCTCTCTCTTTCTCTCTCTCTTTCTCTCTTTCTCTTTCTCTCTCTTTCTCTCTTTCTCTCTCTCTCTCTCTTCTCTCTCTTCTCTCTCTTCTCTCTCTCTCTCTCTCTCTCTCTCTCTCTCTCTCTCTCTCTCTCTCTCTCTCTCTCTCTCTCTCTCTCTCTCTCTCTCTCTCTCTCTCTCTCTCTCTCTCTCTCTCTCTGCCTTTAAATTTTCAATTGTTTGATTTCATATTTATCTTGGAGTTTGTTGTGATTTCTCCGTACATTTTCCAACTTCGGTACAGACAGTTCTTTGGTGCTTTTCCTTAGACATTCCAGTTGCCAAGGTCGTCAGTACACTTTCTTGGCTTTTCATCTTCAACCTGATAGTCATTCCACTTTAGTGTGGAGAGATTACATTCCTGTTTATTAATATATTTTTTCATCATCTATTCTTTCTTTTTGCTCCTTGCTAAATATGTGATGGGAGGATTATAGACCAGAAAAAGTTACTATTACAAGTCAGGATGCCATTGTCATGTGTAGAGCGTAGCATCAGATCTTTCTTTTTATTTTTTTCACTTTAATCCCTATTTATAAAAAGAGAAAACAAAATATATGAACAGCCTGTGGAACGGCTGGTGTTCATGTGCAGACAAAAAGGGAAGGGGCATGTTACCTGATGGAAGCTTTTCCCTCGTTTGAGCTTTTGCAATTGTTGTGATTTTTTAAGACTTCCTGATTGTTCTGATGTATTCTAATTATTATTATTATTATCATTATTAATTATTTTTAGTATAGTTGATGTTGCCAATAATTTAATTTTTTAGCTCTATATTTAATTTTTATTTGTACAAATTGTCGTGATACAGAACCATAAGATATTATTTGTGTTGAATGAGCAACAGATCTTACCAAAAGTAGGTTTAAATTTTGTGTGTATGTGTGTGTGTCTGTGTTTGTATGTGTGCATATATGTATTCATATGTGTGTTTGTGGGAATTTGTTGGTGAATGTGCTGGATGTGGACCTGTGACCATATACAAGTGCATTAATGAAAGTTGGTTATACCTTTGAAAAGGATGAACAAGTACAACACACACAACTCAGTGCAATTACTACTTATGTATAAGGCTGTCCGAGCTATTGCTTGTTTATTGTGATTATTCAAAGCTGATTGTATTTCTTTCTATGGTTGATATCTTTACCTGATAATTGTCATTTATGTTACCAGACTGTTAAGTTCTAGCCATTAGCTATATGTCATATTTGTGTACATTCTCACATGTTGGTCTACATGTACACATTTCTTTTCTCATACTTAATGCATTCTTTCTTGTTACTCTCACTCACACACACCTGTTGTCTCAGTTTTATACTTGCATTTACACTACAAATCATACTCGCATGCTCAACTCACATTTATTGATTAAGAGTGCAAATGACCCTTTGCATTTTTACCTTTAATTTAGTTCTCTACTTAAACATGAAGATACAAATCATAGAGAATACAGTTAGTTTTGAACCTATACCTAATGCTTGAATGATTCAGGTTTCATGTGTCAAAGTTGAATGTAGAACCTAATTTATTTGTTAATGAATGCACTGTTCCCATTGGTTCATTATTGTTGATATAATAAAGCACTGGCATTGTATGTTATCTTTAGAACTTTTATCAGGCACTTAAAAGTTACTTATAAGCTGAACACATAAGGTTTAATGCTTTTATAATGAAAGTCTAATAAATATATTCTGCATGCCATGTCATTAAATTCTGAAGGAAAATCTGCATGTTTTGTAATTTCATTATGGGGCAACAGAAATACAAAATGAGAATGATGAAATAAAGGGATATAGAAGATGAGAAAAATGACAAAAATCCTCACAATGATTGGATGGTTCACATTTGTAATAAATGTTACTTTACAATGTATGTTAGGGGATGTAGTGTATGTTGTGTTCTTTTTGTGTCATTACCTAAAATATTAGTCACAAAGAAAAAGAAATAGATCTGCTATTGGGCGTTACATGAAGAGAGAACTTTTTAGGCTTCTTAAACATTTCAGATAACAATTTTTTCCTATGTTGTACTTGAATGCAGAATGAAAAACAAACTGGAGAGACTGGACATTTTTACATGAAATGATAACTATAAATCTACATCACAGTGGTCTCCTTCGTACCAAGTGTTTTATATGGTCTTGTAGAGTAGAAAGATACTGTTTAGTATTTTGTTATGTTGGCACTATTTGCCCAGCATGTTCACATATGTACATATATTTAAGATTTGTAAATATTTGTTTATCTTTAATTCTAGCACAGGAAGCAGGGATGATGGTGTATGTATGATGAACTTGTGTTAAGTGTGCTCTGTGTACACTTCGATTAGGGCTGGTAATGTTTGCAGTACAGTCTCAGAATCTAATTCATGAGCTGTGTGTTTTTTTTGTTTTTTTTTAATTTGTCCAAAAATGTGTTCCTCTCCTCTATAATGGATAGCTCTGCACATTCATTTTCATGGCTTTAAAGCAGTTACTGCATAACCTCATATATCATCAATGTACATCTGTCATGGTCATCACACATGAATACTGTTAGTTGGTTTTAGTTTTTTATCATTGTCAAACTTTTGCAGAGAGTGGGATTAAATACTGTAAGGGAATGTCATGCTGAAGCTGGTATGCTCTAGTAGAGCATGAGCTTTTTGAGGAGACTAGAGAAACATGGTAAACGCATTGTGTAGCATGTTTGCATATTCTTCAATAGTGGGCAAGCTATTTCTGCTATGTACTGCTAAGAGTAAAAGGAATCAAACTTTTTGACATGGTAGGAATCCTGTCCAGTAGACAAAAGCAATATACATTCCATTTCTCCAGAATTATTTATATATTCCCCAGCATTCATTCATTCTGAGCACTGCTGGCAAAACTTGTTAAATATTTATTTTATGTATGGAAGTGGATGTAAAAATGACAGTTTATGTCTGAAATTATTGATGCTGTTACTGGCTCATACTGCAATTCAATTCCAGCCCTATTTATCACTGAGTGAGTGTTGAATAGACATTTTTCACTGAAGTTAAAAGGAACTTACATAATCAGTCATGTAGAAGTCTTGTCAAGTAAATCATTTGAACTATCTGTTTGACCTCTTTACTCCCTATTTACTTACTCCAATATTATCCTGGGTTTACTAAATTCCCAAAGAAAATGTTACTGTTAAGAAATCTTGCTAATCATTACTTCTTGTATGAAAGAAAGTTGTTTACTGTATTTTTAGTGCATTAAACCAAAAATTAGTGGTATGTATCCCATTTTTTAAATGTTAGTACCAAAATTCTTTGTTCAGTAATAATGAGACTGAGTTAAAGGGCTGCATTGAATGATTGATATATCTTCTGTCTTCCAGTCTCATGAATGAATAATTATGTTTCAGGGTATATATGAATTTAGAGTTGTGCAGTTAAAAAACAAATTCATCATTATATCCATTAATAATTTTCTGGTTTTATTTAATCTAGTAAATCATCTCTCACTACAGATTTTGATCACAAATTTGTTATTATTTATTGTATAAACATTATGTTGACATTATTGACATGATACATATGAACTTAATCAAATAATGTAACACTATATTGATAAAAAATTAATAAAAAGAATTCTTATTCAGTTAACAGCTCAATAAGTTCAAAACAAATGACAAATCTTATGGTATTTTTAGCAAAAAACTCAAGATAAAGAAACTGTACAGGTACGAAAGATGACCTTCCAAGATATCTTTGAAAGGAGATAGAGAATTTTAAACATTTTGTTTGCAGCTAATCAAGACAGTTTTAAAAATGATAATTACACAAATGATATTCTCTTCAATAAATATTTTTATTAAATGTAGAACAACTTATTGTATCATTGATTTTCATATATAATATGTGTTTCTGCCTCTGGTATTGCCATTATCTTACTCTATACTGAGCACGAATACACAAAAATATTTAGTTAAATTTTATCAAAATATCTGATATTGTCTAAATGCAGATAGATACAGATAAGATGCTTCTCATACTAAGCCATGAGGAATACAATGTACAAATGATAGAATTTCTAGCACATGCAGTATGTTATATTGCTCCCAATGAAAATAGCCTTCAGTTAAGATATCTGACTTGGAACAACAGGAAGAATTGACCTGCAGCTCTTATATATGTCTAAAAGAAAGAAAAAAAAGTTAAAATATACAGTTACTATTTGCTTGGAAAAGAACAGACCGCATTATCTTACGAGGAGTAAGAGCCCTAAAAGCCTTGAATGTGGGTACACCTGTTTCAATAATAAATGAAAGTTGCATATGAAGTATTACTTATTAATGAATTTAGTATGAGGAAAATATTTGAATTATGCAGACTTCTGATTAGATCTTATAATTCAGAGTTTGCATACTTATATGACCTACTAAGAAAACCAACATACTTTTGACACACTATACAAGCAAAAGGAAAGCAAGGAGTTCTATGATAAATTTCATAGGCATTTAAGCAAAATGAACAGTATTTGAAGAAAAAGACATGCTAAAGAAATAGAGTTGTTTTTCAAATCTGTACTAGTTTTGCAGTGTAATACCGCCCCCAGGGAAAAAATATATATAAATTTGATAAATATTGATGCAAAGCAAGATAAAATGTTAAGTGTGTCTTCACTTACTGCAGAATTTTCTGATAAGTACAATACAGTCACGAAAAGCGTATATAGAATGCTACATACATTATAGATGACTTTTTCTTTGACTTGGCATTAATTTTACATAAATTTATGTAATTTTATGTTGTAATGGAGATAAAACCTCACCTAAATTGCTAAAGAGACTCGATGGGTTTTTAATTTTTTTCTAATTATTTGAAATTACATTTTGCAAGTAACGATTACGAAGTAGGTTACTAACATAGTATAATAAGTTATTCACACACGCACTGCAAATAGAGAACATGTTAATATAAAAATTGTG